CATACATTAAGATGAACTTACCGTGTAGGTTGTGACATTTTAAATCTTCTAGTTACCTGAAATAAACCGATCAAAACAGTTAACGTCAAGGAAAATAATCATCATTCGAAAATAAGGCAGCCATACTAGTCTACATACGAAGAAACAAAACATCAAGTGATATGCATTTTTTTCTAAACTTGAACAGACAGAGAATGGAAGTAGTATATAAAATAAGTTTCAGTTGCGTAAAAATAGGAAATAACTGAAAATATACGACGATGGAAGAAGATTTCAATCTCCACTCACTCAGTAACTCAGAAGCCGAGATGTCGACCCGAAGAGGAAGAATGAGCCGGCGTTCATAATCTTTAGACGGTCAGCGATACACTAGATTCCAGACTACCAGAATTTTCGTTTATAGCAACAGGAAAACAAACATGGCGGTTAGATTACAATGTTAACAGTGTAGTATTTTGTGAGAATCTTCAAGCTATTTCACGCATATTATGGATTTTGAAAGAAGAGCTTTATCATCTAGGTCACCTGCCACGAGGTATGAAGTCCTTCTTGTCGAAGATACGCCAAAGAAAGGACTTTCCGAAGAACGGATGACAACATGTTTTCATGTCTATGATGAACTAATTCCAGAGTTGGGAGTTTATAAGAAAGTTTTGAAGATGCTTCGGGATGAACTATACGAAGCTGTGTATAGCAATGAATACACTACAGCAGCACCTAAAAAAGGGAAAAGCAAGACGACTTATATTCAACGCATTCCTTATTTCGTACTTGTTAATCGAGTTTTTGAGGAACGCGATAAAAACGCAGACCAGCTAAAAGAAGCCATTAATGCATTAGAAAACAAACTTGCTGAGAAAGATCAACAATTGGAAGAGGCTAATAAAACCATCGAGCAACTTAAAAAATCACTTAAAGAGTGCAGTGATAAGATTTACAACATGGAAATCGAAATGGAAAACCAGAATCTCGAGCAGAGGAAACTTGAAACAAGCGTCCAATATGAGCAGATGATGCAACAAGCGGCTAAAGACCGTTACGAAAAACGCATTTCAGGTCTTAAAGAGGATCTCACTCAAGCTAAGGAAAGGAACAAATTCCTTGAAAAGTTTAAAGAAGGTTATGACGCCCTTGAAGAAGCATTTAATGATTCAACAGTGTTCGATAATAAGCCTCAAAAACCAGCTGTTCTAACAAGGAGAGCTCAACTCATTCAAGAAATATCTAATGCTAAGCTTCTGGAAGAGCAACTCCTTACCATGCAGAATTTAGTTATTGAGGAATATGAACTCTTCTTGGAGGAGAATAAGGCTTTGCCAACAGAAGAAGTTGACTTGAAGAGCAGTGGAAGTAACTTTCGTGCAACACCAGATGATGAACACGAAATGAGAGTGAAACTGGAAGAGGAGCTGCACAAAGTCAAGGAAAGATTTAAAAAGAGTATTGCTGATATTGAAAACGAATTTCAGCTCATTGAGATTCAAAGGTCTAGTCTTGAAGATCAGTTGGCCGAACTTGAGGAGGAAGCTAAGAGGATAGAAAGAGAAACCAACGAAAAGAAAGAAAGAAAGAAAAGCATGTTTTTCATGGAAGGAGAAAAGGAAAGGAAACCAGATGCACCTGAAGACGATGACGAGATTGACTTTGTGAAGATCATGAACAGTGCACATAATCAAGATCCATTTATTTCACACGAAAGAATCCTGAGCAAGTACTCAGCAATGATGTACTACTCCTGCAACCAGGGAAAGAACTATCACGAGTTTAAAGATGCCAAGTTTTGTGCAAGTTGTGGTGAGACAACTCTACTCTGTCCTCACAAAGTTACAGATCACAAGGTTGTTTCATTGCCTCATAACTGTACCCACATAAAGATCATCAGGCCAACAGTGCACATATCACGTGAGGAAAAACCTCCTGTTCTTGTAACCGAAACTCCCGAGAGCGTCCGAGCGATGTCGGCGATTTCAAACAGCACTGTAACTTACGGAGAAGAGTCCATCTTGAAAGAACAACAACACCTGACCACGACATACAAGTTCCTCTGGGATGATTACTACTCAAGGACATCAATTAGAAGACAGATACCAAGGGCTCTTTCTCAGGATCGTGTATCGTCCATCATTGAGCAGTTTTACTCTTCACTTATCTGGCAGGATGATTACGCAGTGGAAGATGAACAAATTGTTTCAGTTGTGGATACGCTGTACTCTTTCTTCCACGAACGATATCTTGTTCCAGATGTCACATTTCTAGCTGTGTTTGATTTCTTCACAAGTGTGATCAAGTTTGCCTCGGGCAACAAGAACATTCAGTTGTTTGCTCAGGCGATGTGTGGCAGCTTGGACCCAGTTGTGGTTCGTTACATCCTTCTGATAAATGAGTTTATCGATCTGGTTGAGTGGTTGGCCGTCAAAGACATCAGGATTTTTGCTCAAGTTGTTTATCCCTTCATGAATGAGGAAGACATTGAGCAGTTCTCAATGGGCTACACCTCCTTTAGCGAAAACAAGATTTCTAAAGAACTGGTGTCCGAGTATTTCCTGTACATCATTCTGAAGTACAGAGAACCTCGCTTTCAAGAAATGGAAGTTAAACTGCTGCAACAACCAGGAAGGAGGCCTGGGTTTATGACCGATATTGAATATGCTGAAGCTATCGATAACATCTGTCCCTTGGCATCGGAACGCATGCGGCGCCGTCTGTTTGTAGAGTCTGTGGAACACTTGAGAACCACTGATGACTCTGTATCCGTGATGCGACTGGCACAAATCACTGGTTATCTGACCCTATTACAACTCACACCCGTCATTAAGAATACGGTTTCCCAGAGAGTGGATGAAGTACGCCTTGTCGTCGCTGAAGGACAGTCATCCCCACTCCCTGATGCTCCGGTGAGCAATGCATCCAAACCAGGGGATTTTTTCACCACAAGTAGCGCACGTGCAGTAGCGGCTGAGAATGCCAAACGCTCAAGGACTCGGCAACTAAAAAGGATTGAAGAATACCAGTATGACTGAGAGCAGGAACCCTCAGAAATCAGGAACTGTTACCCCAGAATTATGAGAGCAGTTCTCAAAAATTTATTTTAAGAGAAAGCTATTGTTACTTTTGGCAAAGTTTATCAAATTGTTAAGTCTTGAGGCAATTATACCGTAAAGGAGTAATACTTAATCAAGGCACAAGGGAAGGCCTGACATGTTTTGTTTACCTAAGTTAACGCACATAGTATGACGTGTTGTCAAGAAAAGAGGACGTAGAGCGTGAAAAATAAGGACAACCCTTTAGGTAGAATGTGATTTGAGTGGAAGAACTTGTTCTGTGAATAACAAGTAAATAAAGCAGTTAGTAACACTGAATGACTACAAATAACTGTTTTTTCTAATAACTTACAAGAACAGCCTCACTTAAACAGGAAAATACTTATTACTGCCCAGCTCTTGCTTTTTCACACAATACTCCAACCTTACCTTCACCTTAAATTTTAGCCCGCAGAGCGGGCGTTATTCTGGCGAACGAGTGCTTAGTATTTTCTTAACGAAAATTGTGACCACCATCTTTGATTTTTATTGCAGGGGAAGGCTGGGGAGAGAAAAATTTATACCGAGAGGGTGGTCGACAGTCAAAAATAGGGAGAGGGGTGGGGGGGGGAGGTGAAGATTACGTCTACCTGAAGTCGTTGTTATTTTCTCAAAAATCCGTTCGCCCTCGAACGGAGTTCCTGATTGGTGCGGTGAGGCTCCAGCTGTCAATCACAAGCCAAATGTGTCATTTGAGCGTCATTCTGACATTTCGCTCCTGCTGGAGAAAGAGAAAGATGGCAAACTCTGATTGTGAACTTGTTAGTTTTTATTCTACTATCGAGGAAACACTTAATTGTCTTTCGGAATTTAATGTCGGAACAAAAAGAAGCAGTTTCTATGCTGGTTCCTGGAAAGGATTTACTGACCATGTTGCCAACTAGCTTTTGGAAAAGCCTGATATTTCAGGGTTGGTATTTATGAAAGAAATAATGACGGTAAACCTTCGAGCGTAGTTGTCGTTTGTTCGCTTCATCGTATAGTTAAAGATCATAATGGAATGAGCATCTTCGATCGGATTAACTGTAGCTACGCTCACGGGTTGTCATTTGGAGGATATAGAATGCGGCAAATATCAACTCGTATTTGCCTCAGCAGAGAACATTTTGGTGAAGCCATTTTTTTCGTTGATGAAAAAAATACCCACACCGTTTCACCAGAGTTTTCCGGTTTGCATCAAATAAATTATGGCGGGTAAACCTTCGAGTGCAGTTGTTTGTTACTTCCAAGTATCGTTTACGATCAAATGGAAAAAAAATTGTCAAATAGATTAATGGCAGTCATACTCAAGGATTTTCGTTCAGAAAATCTAGAGTGCAGCAAAAATCAGCTCATATTTGTGACCGCGGAGGAGGTTTTGTCGATGCCATTTCTTTTCAGGCTGAAAAAAAAACTGCCTCACCGTTTCACTTATTGGCTCTACGTATGTTTGTTTTTGTCAGAAGACAATGCTTCCGGTTTTTAATTTAACTAATTTTGATTGGTTATCTGCTCATTTCTTCTCGCCCTTTCCCTGCCCTCTACCCCCACCGTCCACTCTAACTCGAAATCAAATATGGCCGGTTCGGTAAACAATCGCGAGCTTATAATGTTAGCTCGCTCTAATAAGACGCCTGCACTGCAGGCTTCTTAACTTTAGGTGTGGTTTTATATAGTGTCATTCCGTCCATGGTTCGTCGGAGCCCAAGCTATATTTCGGTTTAACTACACAGAACGCTGATAAAGTGCTATGATCTCATGGAGTAACGAAAAGGGAGAGATACTGTCCTTATATATACAATTGTGTGCAGGAAATAACAGAAACATGCCCCACAAAGTTTGGAGATCTATTCAAACATTTTTAATTTCAATGAAAAAAACTAAGATTAAGTTATTTTCTGAAGTTTTATTTTGAACAACTCCTGAACCTCGTGCCTTAATTTTACTTCAAATCGTACCACTTAAGTCAAAAGCAGAATCAGAGTTTTAATTCTTAAAAAAAGAACGCGTTCAAATTTGTTATATGAAGGAGGTCCAATAAGTAATCGTTAGTTATGTGATTATAATAAAGAAAAGGTTAACTTTGAATAGTAAGACTTTATAACAATGCTAATTTTATCGAATCATTTAATTGGGTGTCTTGTGAGGTCAGTTATTGTGTTCAGTAGCAAAATTGCAGTCTCGCATTCGTATTGCCACGCATTGAGCGTGGAAACGTCGTAGGACGAGTCTGACGTGGTTTAAATGACATTACTTAATCTGATATGTGTTGCAAAAGCTGTACCGGATTCTCCAACTTGTATCAACCACAGGTCAACGAAATTTGGCTTCAGTCATTCCTGACACAGAATTCTGGAGAACATAATACTTATTATTATTATACTTAAAGAAGTAAATTAGTAAATCTGTGCTACTAGCCCAATCTAAACTGTAACTGGTAACCATCCTTTGTGCGGGCCTTCGACGACCATTTTGACACATCCTAACACTGTTCTACATAGAAATATAATTTGATGGTAATGTAACTGTGATGGCCGTGACTCAGTGTCACATCTAAATTACTTTAAATGAAGTACGTTTATGTTTGCATGATTCGTCAGTAGATACAGGCCACGGTTATCACGGAAAACTGCGGCACTAATATGTTAGATATGTAGAACAATCAAAAATGACACAACTGGCTAATTACGAATAGTTTAGCGCTACTCCTTTTGAATTCAGGAACAAAGTTTTAAATTC